ATCAAACTAAGGAAATAATAATAATGATAATATAAAAAAATTAAATTTTATTGTGAGAAAAAACGAAAAAAAGAAAAAAAAAATTTCCAGAGGTTTTTATTTTCACACGTTTGGTGGAAAAATAATAATAATAATGATTATTTATACGTACTTGTGTGTGTCCATAAGTCGGATTCGATTCTCCAGACAAAGCTTGAACGTTTAATAATATCGATGAATGAATTTCGTGATCTAATATCGTCGATGTTTGTATGATTCCAGTTTCGGGATCGATTGAAAAATTACCCTCGGGATCACCCGAATGTATGTAATATTGTATTGAATCGTTTGAACCTGGAAAAATAATAATAATAATATTATTAAAAAAATTGGATTCTGGAGAATGATTATGCGACTTTTTTTTTCGGTAATCGTTTTTCTGATAATGTGTCCAGGGTAATTGCTTAAAAAAAAAAATTCGTGTCCATTTTTTTTTACACAAAAATATTTTCAGGTGAGTTTAAGTGCATTTTAAGTACATTTTAAGTGCGTTTTAGGTACGTTTAAATGTGTTGTGGTTTAGTTTAAGGTTACGGTTTAAGTGCGTTCAGATATTTTGCTAATTACGTTTAGAGTTTGTTACGCGAATGAATTTTTAATATGGATGGTTGTTGGGGTACGTTCAGATATGGTTTCGAAATGCGTTCAGAAACGCGATTTTTGTTATTATTATTACCGTTTGAGTAAAATGGGAAAATGTTTATACGCATAAGAAAATGAGAGAGGAGGAATTAGTTTTAAAAAAAGGTTTTTCCAACGGGCTTCGTCAGATTTCAATCTCTCTCTCTTTTCATTTTTTTCTTTTGATTCTCTCACTTTTCCTTTTTCTCATTTTGTTTTTTTTCTTTTCTCATTGTTTTTTCTTTTTTTTATTTTGTTTTCTGTCATTCTAATTCGTTTTCTCTCTCTCTCTCTCTTTTCGTTTCATTCGTTTTTTTTTCTCTCACTATTTTCTTTTTTTTCATTTTGTTTTATATTTCTCTCTTTCTTTTTCTCATTTTTTTTATCTGTCTCTCTCTCTTCCTCTTTCTCATTTTGTTCTCTGTCTTATTTTCCTTTCTCTTTCTCTTTCTCGTTTTTTCTTTCTTTGTATTTTGTTTTCTATCATTCTAATACGATTTCTCTCTCTCTTCATTTCTTTCATTTTTTTCTATCTCTTTTCATTTCTTTCATTTTGTTTTCTTTCTCTCTTTTCCTTTTTCTCATATTGTTCTCTCCCTCTTCTTTTCCTTTATTTTGCTTACTCTCTTTCTCTCTCGCTGTTTTTTT